TCTTACAGTTTAGATACGATACCGAGTGGTTCGGAGGACGGAACAATATCACCATCCCAGCATGAATCCAGCTCGGGTTTTTCTGTTGATGAGGGATCCCATCCTTTTTCTCAAAGTGAGCTCAATTAGAGATTAGGCCTTTCCAAAGGTGCAACCGTATTGCTAGAATCAAGACTATGAAATAAAAAAAACTTGCTATTACCTTAAACATCTTTCTCGTAGTACAGGCTCATTTTTTTAAGTAATAATCTTCAAGGACTCAAAAAATGCTTTGAAGTAGAAAATGAGCCATTTGAGTGGCGCATAGTGATTGATACTTCTAAAACAAACCTCAAAGTAGTCTTACCGCATAATGGAAATACATTTGCGTCAATTTCTATGAGACACCCGGGGCATTTGGAAGAAAAGTAAACGGTTCGCTATGATTTTTTAAAAAGTTAACTACCAAGAACTTCGGTGGCCGGTTTGTGGAAACATAGAGTATTAACTGGCTTGGGGCCAGCAGGCGGGTTACCTGTGGGACAGTCGAGCCAGAGACTTCCATTGGACAAAAACTTGATTACTTTAAGTAGGTTTAATCCCCGATTAATAAACGTAATTAACACGACCTTGGTCCCACCTGGATAGGTTCATTACCACCTCACCATATGAAGAAATTTGTACAATCGCTATCGAAAGATGGAAAATGTATCACATATTTGTGTATTAACTTCCCCAATTATCTCATATCAAGTTGAAAGAGTGAGTTTTTACTGGCCCCGAATAAGAAAAAAAAAAACTGATAAGTTTCCTGGACCCCTCTACAAAACCAGTGTACAACGCACGTTGGGCTTCAAATTGACTGCATATAAAGCTCAAATTTGAAAGCTGAGCTTAAAAGTTCATTTCTTACACTCCCATGTCGACTATTTTCCCGAAAACTTTGGGAGCCTATAGCGAAGAGCAGAATTTCTGTAATATCGAATGACTCTACCAAAAAAGATAGAATGCAAAGCTGACTACTCCTTGATCATCAAGAGGGAAAAGGAAAATGGGGAGCGAAAGCGTGTTTGGATGAGTATCGAAGAGAAGGAGAGTGACCACGGTATGTCAGATATATCATGAAGGAATTATTTGTTTAATTATTAGAAATAATCTGTTTAATTCAATGTAGTAAAATTAGTGATTTTTTTATCGCTATTATGATATTTTACTGTAAACTCCTAAAAATCCTGGATACAGCTGAAAAAAATTTAAATTTGCAGTCAGCATTAGGTTGCATATTCTATTTCACTCCCTGAGGGTTCTATTGCATATTTTCCTTCACAGTACTTTGTCATAATGAATTCACCTAAGGTTCGATAACCAAGATTACTTCCTAGTAGAAGGTACTAGTTTAGTCCTAGTCTAAGGTTACTAGTTTCTTCCTACTCGATTGACTAGTTTCTAAGCAGGTTCTTCCACCTTGGTTTCTCAACCCTAACACAGGGAACTAAAAGCCAATGGTTATAAATATTGCCTACCAGGGCTTGTTTCAAACTTAGAGCTTCGGTGTACTCGCTTCTAACGAAATACAAAGCTTTCCATAGAGATCTTAGCTACAAAGTCATTCGCTTGATTTACCTGTTATTAAGCACCTCGTATAATGAGAAGAATCTTGTCCATTTTGAACCATACTCATACTAAAACCTGAAACTCGTCGCAATGTTCCAGTATAATGTAACAAAAAGGAAGACTTCAGGTACATTTCTTGGCCCCGTAGGCAGTTATATCATCCTTAAAAATATTCTGTTAACATAAATGATTAGTAAGAGGTACTAGTACTTAGTTAACTTACATTTTTCATCAAATGCCTTTAATTATGGCTGTAACATTCTCATTATATAATATACGGTTTGAAGTAGGCACAACTGAAGATAGAAATTAACCAGCAGTAATAAGCATTGAGAGCTTCTAAATTTAGTAAATCTAGGGAGGGAGATATCGTACTTTTAAGGGGATGAGGTGGGGAGACAGTGATTATCTTACGCTAATTACCATTGTACGTTTGTAGTGCCATTTGAGGCATACGTTACGGACTTGCTAATTACCGGCCCCTATTATTAGCTAATAAAGGAATATTGTCTATAGTTGCATTTCATTTATTAATGGCAGTCCTGAAAATTTAAATCTCGTATGTAAGGTACTTGATTTAAGGGCTGAATATATTTTAAAATTAATATTCTTAACGGTGCAAGTCTTAAATTAACTTACATTTTACTTTGCGCCGAGACATGATCTCTTTACTCCTCAATATGCGCCTATACACGATGCGTCTACAATTCATTATGTAATACGCTCCACTAACTTGAACACTAGATACGCCGTCATCTGAGACAGCACTGTAAGACAGCACAAATCATTGCTGGAATTGCTGACAAGCGCATTGTATCTTGTACAATACAATACTCTAAAGATGGTATAAGTATTTTATAGCTAAGAAAATTTATGTTAAGCGCAGTATACTACTTTAGGACGATAAGATGCATTTAAAACTCCTTAGACGCAAAAACTTTTATAAATCTTCTGGAAAATCACAAATATTACCATTCTCGCTGTGCCTTATAAATGAAAGGAATAATGATTATAAAATGAATATTTAAAAGTAAACCAAGACTTCTCACCGAGAATACGCAGTCTTCGCTACAGGATACCGAGCACCAGCAGAGTTCAGTTATAACTCTCTATATATTCCCTCCAATCGTTTATTTCTTTCATTCTAGTCTGTCCTTTTTATTATTACTAGGTATTGTTTTATAATTATTTTCCACTCTTTTATTTTGTTTTTAATAATTAATGAGTTATAACGCAAACTATATAGGCCAATAAAATTACAGACAGTGTACAACGTGAAGTAGAAACGCAATCTTAAAAATAAAAAATTTTATGAAGGGGTAATAAAAAATTTGTCAATTTTGATTTGAAATCTTTAATGCGGAGAAAAGTTAAAAAAAAAATTTTCAATATTAATTCGTCCTTTATATAGCGGTATGCGTAAAGTTTTTCTCTTAACGCAAAGATATTTTGTGACAGCCTGTATCTTACGTTTGATAGCATATAAATTCTGTACTGAACAGTTCACTACTACACCGTCGGCGTCTAATTTGTTATTAAGTCTCAGCACTCATCAACTTTATTAAGCGTACCTCCTACGCTTCATTGTCGTAAAAGCATTTTATTAATAGCTTTTTTGTAAGGGACAGTAGTAGAAAAATACTCTAAACAATCCTAGAATTTAGAAAGACAAAATTATATATATAGGCGCTGAAACGCTTACAGTTTATGTAACATTGAAACCGTTGACCTTTTCCTTTGTATACCCTTTGAACAATTAATATTATGCTAGTCTGCCCACTTCTATTATATACATCTTAGTTTTTTTTTGAAAGTTTTTATCCTTGATATAATTTTTTATTGATATGCTTACTTTTTATTAGTATTAATTTCGACCTTAATAAAATTATAACATACTTTTTGTACTACAAATAAATATTTATTTTATAACAAACTTCTTTAAATTTTATCCTAATAACATTAAGTAAAGATTATTATTCTTTTTATTTTTTCATTAGATACAATTTTTTATAATAAATATAGAGAATATATTTGAGATCGAATGTTATCTTGATCGGTATATCTACTTAATAACCGAGTCTTCAAGCTAAAAGGAAGACAAAACAGAAAAAAGCAGATTAAACTTTTTTTAGCACTGGCCTATTGCGTTCGGTATTCTAAGGTTTTAAATAGCACAATCTATAAGCAGGAAAGAGCACATCTACTGGACCTTATAACGTGACTTTTTAAAAGAAATAGAAATCAATTTGACTCTATCAGGTTAGAATTAAATAGCTTATATAACATATAACCGCCCTAAATATTAATAACTGGTTACATGATCCTAGGACATTGCAAAAACAAATATAGTAGTTGAAAATAAGTGTTTCTGCCGTATGCTATTAAGTGATCCGTATCTTAATTGCCACAAGGTTTAGGAGGTCGTTTTTTAAGTTTGATCATTTGTTATATTTCTCACCACCCCAAAAAGTAAACGCTCGCAAAAAGCGGACAGAAAAATCATTTAATAGGATGGTGAGTCTAAATAAAATCAGGCCTCTTTTTCATTTAGCAGATATTAGTTTTAATTTTTTATAGTTTCCTAAGCTGCATCATAGTTTTCACACACTTCGAGGCTAAAATGCTTCATGAACTGCAGAGACTTCAATAAAATTATAGCAGACTTTATATCATGGTAAAAGACGAGTCCAACCTGATTTGAAAGTTTAATTTCTCTGAAGTTTTATTCTAACAGTTACCTACAGCAAAAAAAATGCTTGCTTTATAAAGTAGACTTCTTACTAACAGTACTCATTATGAGTATCTCTTCTAACAATGAAAACTGTATTTGTTTAATATTTAAATTTAACGAGTAATGCTAAGTGAAAACTCCAATTCACTATATTAAATTTTATTAAAGTAGAATTACTAGTTAGTACAAGGCGCGCCACATACAAAAATACTAATAGCGCTGTCTAAACAGAAGGTACCCTCTTCTTCCCTTTATCCACCCAAAATATTGAATTGTGCCTAACAAATGAGAGTACGTTTAGCCTAGAGTATTTTACACCTTAACACTGACTTTGACAGAGGCCGTAGCAGAACAATTAAAAATAAAGTGGGAGCGAGGGAGAGATGGGAAAAAGAAGTTGTTTGGGAAATTTCTTTCTTTTCCTTTAACCTTTTTATTTTTTGAGTCTTCGTCATGGCTAACTCTACTGCGAAGGGCTGGTAGGCTATAAGCAGCTGACGGGGATTTAACCTCCCATGGTGTGAAAAGAAAAGTGTTTATAGTTTGGGTTGGCTACATTTCGCTTTTTAAGCCAATCGTTTTTACGTAGTATAACTGATTATAAACCATTGGTGGATATATTTTTTTAACCTAAGTTGGAGCCTTATTTTTAACCAAACACTACGGCAGAATTCCATTGTTACCGTCCTTCCTCTCTGGTGGCCTGCCATGCTCAGAGGTAGTTTCTTTGTTTTTTCTTAAGCCTCTTTGTTGAGCTTTTGCTCTTGTTTCAACTGCTATTACATACAGTACTCTTGAAAGCAACGTTGTTGCCAACCCGTGGGGGAAAATGTTTTTTCTCGACTTCTTTAGCCAGAAAAGCCCTTAAGAATTCTGAGGGGCAGGTTTAGTAAACCCTATAAGTTAGACTGCTCAAAATACAGCTATTAACTCTTTTACAACATAATAGAAGGTACCGAGCGTCATATGGCCAATAAGAGTCGGAAGTAAATGGGAAAAACTTAGTTCGGATGAATTGTTTGATCAAAAAACTGTTGCTGTTCTCGCTCTTCCAGGGGCATTCACTCAAACCTGTTCATCTAACCATCTTCCTCGTTACAATGAATTGGAGGGGCTTTTTAAAGTACTTTATTTAAGTATTCATCTTTATACACCCTAAATTTTATCTTGCCTTCTAGAAACATGGCGTTGACAAAATAGTCTGTATCTCCGTTAATGATAGTTTTGTTATGAATGAGTGGGCTCGCTCCCAGAAAATTGATAAAGTTACTCTTGTACCAGACGGAAACGGAGAGTTTACCGAAAAAATGGGAATGCTCGTCAACAAAGACTCGCTAGGGTTTGGAAAGCGATCATGGAGATATTCCATGTTAGTTAAAAATCGGGTCATTGAAAAGGTTTGGGCTCTAAATCACTGCAACGTCTTCATTAGTATATTGTTATAAAAGTAGATGTGGATCGAGCGCGAAGTTGAGGGAGATCCCTATGAAGTTTCTGACGCCGAGACCATGCTGAAGTACCTCGACCCCTCTCGCGAAATCCCCAAAGCCATTACCATCTTTACAAAGCGGGGATGCCAGTTTTGCCAGGAGGCTAAGAGGCTGCTTGACTCAAAGAATCTTCACTACGAAGAATTAGTTATTGGAGAGGACTTGACCCCCACGGGATTACGTGGTGTCTCTGGAAAAACTACAGTGCCGCAGGTGATTTACAGTTACCATTTTACTTTTAGGGTAAATTTATATAACAAAGTTATTGACTAAATTCTAATATTAGATTTTTTATGGAGGAAAACATGTGGGCGGTCAAGAAGAACTTAAAAAGTTTTTAAAAAATATATGTTTTTAAGGAAATATTTTTCCTCACTTGAATAAAAGAAATTAACAATTTTTTATTAAAGATTTCTTTTCGATGTCTTTACTAGTTCCAAAACAAGCATCCATACAAAAAGATACATTTTTAAAAAACTTCGTCGTCCCCATCGCGAATTTCGGTCTCTACTGCCATTTTTGCATAAGTAGCCAGCTCAAATTCGTATTGTCGGATTAAATTAAAATCTACGAAGGCCTGCGAAAAAAAGTTATATTTAATCGGTAAAGCATTTTCACTAATTAAAAAAAAGCGACTGGTCGGTATAAGGAACCTCGGGAGGCGCTAAAGCGGGAGTGGCTATGAATTGCAAATTATTATCGTTAGCCAGCACTCTGGCAAGTGCGAGGAAAGGTTTCTCCATATTAAAGTTACTTTTTGCGGAAATGTCATAGTAACTCATTTCTATGTTAGTTCAGATTTATTAGTCACCAAAAAGCAAAAAAATTGTAGACTAGTAGAAATATAAAAGATAAGAGATAGTTTATATAACAGGTTTCTTTAACTTTTCTTTTTGTGATAATCAATATGTTTGGGTTTTACTTCTCGCGCAGGCAAATCAACTTTATTTCCGCACAAAACGGAAGGGATATTACCACAGTAGCGTGTTACCTCCTATCGGAGGAGCAATTAAAAGTTTGCTACCCCTTATAAACATATAAAAACTTAAATTTTTAAACAAACCTGGTGCCAAAGGGCGCTATGGTTGTAAGTTGAGCGATTGGTTAGATCAAACATAACGATGCAACACTCGCCTCCAGCGAAATAACCTTCGCGAACAGCTGAAAACTTGTCTTGCCCTTGGTTATAGATTATATATATAAATAAAGCTATCGAAAAGTTTCGGAGTTTAATATACCAGCAGTATCCCAGACCTCAAATTGTACTGGCCCTAAATTAGTTTGAAAAAGCAAGAAGTGTATTTCCGCTCCAATGGTAGCTTACATAAATATATTAGGTTAACAAAGTATATTTCTTAACCAAAAAATATTGTATAAAAAAATTTAAACCATTATATCTCGTTTCAAATTCCCCTGTGAGATGTCGTTTACAAAAAGTTGTTTTGCCAACACAACCATCTCCCACCAAAAGAAGTTTAAAATGCGGACCACCAGCCATGTTATATTCTTGATATAAATGAAGACCAAGCGTAGATAATATACACAAGATAACTGAAAACCACTCTTTCCACTAAAACATTTAGTGAAGGCAAGCCTGATATTTATTACCACGGGGCCCTCTTAAAGGATTAAGTATCTGTATTTAACAGTAAGATGCTGACTTTTGTCTTAATATAGTTATTATAGATTGTAGCTGAAGCACTTAATCAAAAGGGCTGTAATTGGCTGATTATAATTTTTTTCTTTTAGCGGTTTTTCTCTTAGTTTCTGCCTCCATTAACCTCGCCTGTACAATAAAATGTTTTAAATTAGAGCGCTTTACACTAAACATATTGTAGTTTTATTATAATTTTAAATTGTTGATATTATAAATAAAAGGGAGAGACTATTTTTTAATAACTAAAAGACTGCTTTATTAAAGTAATGCTATCTAATTAAGTATTGTAAAGTGCTTCATCACTATCATTATATCCACTTCTATCGTGTAATACCATTACCACTTATCTTATTGTTCTGTTATTGTAAAGTTTGTTTAATACTATAAAGTTGATGCAGAAAACCGAATAAATAAATGTACTTTTTAATATTTATTAATTTAATACCGCTGGTTTGAAGTATCAAAATGACGTTTTATAGAAAACTTTATTGTTGATATGTTATCTAAGTCATGAAGAGTCTCATTGATCAATGTTCTTGAACCACTAACCTATTCCTCGCTTAACGCCTAACTATATAATTATAAGTTGAAGCATTTTTGACTATCATATGTAGGTATAAAAAAAATTCTCACAATTAGAAAAAATTAGTATATACAATAAACTAAGTCAAACCAATAGTCTTCCTTTAAAAAAATTTGTATTTTTTTTTTCATCATTGAGTTATAAGATTATTTAGCAGACGTTATGAAGAATGTAACTTTAACGCTAATCTTATAATTTTTAGATTTTTATGTTTTATTTTATATACTTAAGCACATAAAATTACTTCTTACTATTTGTTACAATATTTCATATATTTATTAAAGTTTTTATATTGTTATGAATGTTTATTATCCTCTTTTTAAATAAATAAATGTTTTTATGTATAATATTAAGTTAATTTTAATTGTGAAAAAATTTTATTAGTTATTGCTTTCTAATTAAAAAATTTATTATTTTTATTTATTAAAAAGTTATTTTATCTATTGTTAACTTGAATTATTTGACGTTCCTTATATATGTATAAAATATAATTTTAGTTAATTAAAATATTTAATTTTTGCATATAAATTTTTCATTATATTTTTTAGATTATATAATTACTTATATTTAATTTATAAAAGGATTTTTGTAAAGTTTTTATACATTATCAATTATCATATTATATTAGAAATTTAGTTATTATTTTTTTATTTTGCGAAGTGTTTTTATTTGTTTATTAATTTATATTTATATTTCTTAAAGTCTAACTTTTTAACACTCTTTAACAATTTTTTCGATAATGGTTGTGTAAATAGTTTTTGATAATTAGTGTAATTCATTAATTTTTGTAAAATGGGTTAAAGCAAATACCCGAAGATCTGCAGTACATTTATTTGATCATTTTAAACCCGTTGAAATAAGCCTCCTTTTAATTTAAAAAAAGAAATACTTAACCTTGATAATTTAAGCTTATAATAATTTTACTATTTTTTTATAAATGTCCAATGAAAGATCCTGACCTTCATTGCTTTCGTTTAAATAACTATTAAAAGGGTGTACGTCTATCTTATTAACAGTTCCTGAGTTTTTTTTAAAAATTCAGGTTTCAATAAAAGGAATTCTATAAATATATGTCAATAAGTTATATATTGCACCAGCACTTGAGCGTCGCATGAAAAGGCAATAAACCACGATATATAACTAATATATGGTTAATTTGCACCAGGTATTTCGTTTAGATATAATTAACCAGGTACAGTTTAAGAAACGGTTGGGGGTAGTAGCTTCATTAGGGTTAACCATGAGTTATTTTATACCACGATTTTCCACCATAAGGCAATTTAACCATAACTAGGATTTTTTATTACCTTTTCAAAAACTTTTGTTCAACTGATTTAATATTCTTTAATGAAGGTTGTTAAATTTATCGATTGACTGTACTATCTTAGAGTTTAACACTAGTTAAAGATTTTTAGCAAATATTTTTGGTTCTTATTATAAATTTAATAATAAGGTTTATATTAACCGAAAGCAAAGTAATATTTTCAACTCATCGCATAATATTTTTCGACGACAACAAAAGTGAACACTTTATATCTCTATTATTTTAGTATTGAAAATTATTTAATCAAATAATGACGTGGAAGATGTAAAACTAGATAATCCTGGGCTAATTTCTTTGTGAAGGTTTGTACCTAGTTAATTTTTCCTGCCCTCTCCGGATAGGCATTCACTTTCAGTGTAGTCAAATATTTCTCTCCTCCCACTTTTTTTGGCTGTGTTCTTTGCTTTTTGTTGGTTACTGGGTAATCGAAATAGAATCAAGTTAACAAGTCTGTGGGTTGATTATTTAGGTGAATCTTGCCGTGAAAATGCAAATTGATTACTGAATTTAAGCGGAAATATAAAAAAAGGAAGAAAGAGCAAGAAGTATACATTGTCAACCTGCAAGAGCTGAGATGTCTTAAATACATGGTCATGTTTAACTAATTATCATAAAGAACACCCTAATACTACCAACTTGTTTAGAAACGTTCCGTCTATCACAATTTTCATATGAGGTTTATGATGTATTAAAAAAATCAAAATTTTGTTTGTCAAACAATTGGTTTATTAATGAGCTATGAGAGGAGGGCCTCTAAAGATTGCTAACCACTTGATACTAGGCTAAATTATATAAGTTTGTCTAGTAGTGATGTTTAAGAAAGGTTTAATTTCCTATAAAATGCAAGTGATTTTATTAATCAGTTAATCTAATTAAACTGGGGATTTCAGTATTTACTTAAATTTTTATTATATTATACTTTCATTAACATCTTAACGGAAAGAATGGTAACTGGCTCTGGATACTTTCCTTTATTCCATATTATAATGCTAAACAATTGAAACCAGCCAAATCGATTGTGACTTTCTCGGTAAGTTGGCATAAAAAACAAGAGTAGCCCTTAAGCTTACTCTAAATATAAAAAATATTTTTGTGGTACCGTTGGGATGTAATACTTGTTTGCGAATACACTAACCAGAATAAAATTTTATTGAATAAATAGCCTACTTTGACAAGTTCTTAGATGACTTCATTGCTCAAACTCTATTTCCCTCCTTAAAGGTATTTGGGTATGAACATCCAATACTTTATTTTCTTAAAAAGGTATCGTAACTTGAAAACTAGCTAACAAGCAAGCTGTTGTAATTCAGATTACCAAACTTTATATTAAATTTTACTTTGATTTTACTTTGGAAAAACAACTATTAGGGGATTGATCGAACCTTTCCTATGGTAGTTTTTAAAAAATTTGTTAAGTGAAAAGTTTGTTGATCTGAACTTAAAAACAAAATAAACTTTCATGGTTAAACTTATAATAAAAAAAGAATCTCTTAGATATATCCTCTTCGTTAAAAATCGTAATGTTTATTATTACATTTAAGATTGATCTTTTTGCCACCATTCAGTTTACTTACAATTATTTGTAAAAATGATATTGCCTTACCATAACGGGTTATAAATTAACTTCAAACTGTTTTACACAGTTGTTATAGTATACCTAAAATTTGGAGGAGTCATGGTAAAGTGAAAGTCAACTATGAATGTTGCTGTTCTATTGCGTACTTTTTTCGCTAGTAGAACTTTACTCTAGGGAAAGAAATAGAATGAGAATACTAAGATCGTAGAAATAATTTTAGAAGAAGATTGTAATACATAATTGTAGAAGAAACATAAAATTTTTAAGGACAAAATTTTATTTCAAGGATATAGCAAATTTCGTTTTAGCCGAGAAGAAAACGTTTAACTTTTATGAAAATACTAAATTGCGTGATTATTATGAACAAATATGGTAGGTAAAAAATTAAGACAGTTCAGGCGTCATTATATTCATAATTTGATTTAACAAATCATCTAAAAAAAATGTAAGAGAGAGATTATTCAAATGTATAACAGTATTCGCCAGTCGTGCTTTTAAACAATGATTTTTAATAAGAAAAAGGGGCTACCGCAAGCACCTGGTTAGCTTTTTTGGCGATAATAAAAAGAAGAACTCATACTTCAAAAAATTTTCATCTTATTTAAGTATGGACCTTTATAATATTATTACTTATAAAAGTTGCAAGAAATAAATTTATGTATCACTTTTACAGTGTTAGCTTTCTACAATGCCAAAAAATGGGCTCCCACCTTTGAGGGATAAAGAATCCGATTAAATTCATGTTTTCGCAGAGAATAAAATACTTTTTCTTTTCAGTCAGCTACTAACGTAATTCTGCATCTAGTTTTAAAGTTAATAGTTCTCATTAGGGAGCTACCTGTTATCCATTCTTGTGGGGTTCTTAACGTTAATGTTCTTGTTTATTCTGTGGCAACCACCGTAGTAAAATGTAGTCCATATATTAGATTTGCAATTTATTACGTATGTTTAAAACTTTTAATTTATTAAATATGTATAAATATCCAAATCTGTCTCGGTAGGTTTGTATTACTTACCTAAAGCTTTGTGTCAGCGGTTTTAAGGTAGACAAGTTTTTAGATGAACCTCTAAGTAATTAAGATCTGGCGCGCTGGAATTAGTGAAATTTCATTTAACTTATTACTCATTTACCTACATAAAAAAAAATTTATTGTCCACGGTGTATATGTGATTGCAATATTAAAATTTTCACACATACTACTATAACTTGTTTACACTAGTCACCTTTATAAATAGTATAATTTTAATTGTCAACTATAATAACCATTTAAAAATGCACCTTTTAGAGAGCGTTGCAGTGCTTAATATAATTCTTATATGAGTTGACACTAACATTTATATTACAGTATATTCTACACCTTTTTTAAGCACTTAATTATACCTCAGTCTTATTCATATTATTATTTAAAACCGTTTGTTTACTCAAAATGGTAAAAGTTTATTGGAATTCTCGTCTTTCTTTAACCTTTAATA